ATATATAATGTTTTCACAACTTCAGCACGATATGCATGCGCTCTTGCACGAATTTGCCACTACGTGGCGCGTATATCTAATTCTTGTATTGCCGGGGGAAGGACCAAAATCATGGCACCTGGCCCCTTTTTCCAACTTATCCCTCTATCACGCAAACCCCCCGAACGAGCTGCGGGCAATGCCGCCGTGCTCATCGTGACCTGCGAGATGTCCGCATAGGAATCCGCACAAAAAATTGATCCGCAATCGTCGTCGGCGACGTCGCCATGGCCGTCATCATCGGCGTCGCCCTCGCCCTCGCCCTCGCCGTCAACGTCGCCGTCCTCGCCGCCGTCGTCGCCGTCGTCGTCGTCAGCGTCAGCGCCAGCGTCAGTGTCGTCGTTGTCGTCATCGTCGTCATCGTCGTCTTCGTCGCTGTCGTCGTCGTCGTTGTCGCTGTCGTCGACGTCAACGTCGACGACGGCGGCGTCGTCGTCGTCGTCGTCGTCGTGCTCGTCGTCATTGTCGTCGTCGTCGGCGTCGTCGCTGTCGTCGTCGTCGTCGCTGTCGCTGTCGTCATTATCATCATCGTCGTTGTTCTCGTCGTCGCCGCCGTCGTCGCCTCGTCGCTCGTCGCTCATCGTCGTCGTGCGCGCGGACGCAGCTGGAACCTCTTTTCTGAATCCCGGGCCGATGACGGCAATCATCTGGGGGGTGGAAAAAGGGCCCATGACGTCGCGTTTTGCGCCGGCAGCCCTCCGGGAGCCCAAGATGGCCCTCTGGCGCCCCAAGAGGATCCCAAGGCGAGCTCAGAGAGGCCCAAGAGAGCTCCAGGAAGGCCCCGGCTAATTCCCGGGGCTGTCTTGGAGTTTCTTGGGGCCCTCCGGGCGCTCTCTTGAGGCTCTCCTGGGGCCCTCTTGGGGCCATCCTGGCGCCCTCTTGAAGCTCTTGGCGCCCTCTTGGTGTCCACTTGGGGCCCTCTTGGGGCCCACCTGGACCCCTCCAGGAGCCCGAGAGGCCCTCTAGGGCCCCGAGAGGGTTCAAAAGAGGGCCTCTTCTGCCTTCTCCTTCTCCTCGCCCTCTCCATTCCTCGGCCTCGTCTTGGGTCCTGGGTTTCCCATCCCTCGCCCCCCCCGGGGGCTCATGATGTGAACAAAAAACAGGACGTCGGAAACTGACCCAAACTCCGCTCAAAACGAGTCCCTGGACCCCTCCTGAGGTCCAAACGTACCAGTTTTTCACCCTGGGTGCAGCCGTGGCGCCGAGGAGAGCCCCCGAAAGCCAGAAAGCCACGAATCTTGATCCTGGAGGTTTGAATTTCAAAATTCGATCTGAAGAGCCTTCTAGTCCATCGACCTCGTGGGCGGATGCGTTCGACGCCGGCGCCGGACGCTGGGCGCCGGAAACCGGGCCCCCGGACCCCTCCCGAAGCCCAAACGCAACAGTTTTCCGAGCCGCTCCCAGCAGTGGCGACGAGGAGGGGCCCCGAGGGCCAGAAAGCCTCGACCCTCGAACCTCGAGGCTGGGGAGAGGACGTGGATGTGGGAGCCGGAGGAGCAGGAGGGAAGAGATTACCTTTTGACCCTGCGCTCCGCGCTGCCGCGGGGCGGGGCGGGCATTGCCCGCCCAACGTCCAGCCGAACAGAATGGAAAACGAAAAGGGGGCCGCCATGCTCTGCCGCCCAATCGAAGCGCCACAGCCGCGGAAGAAGCGCGCCATACACAGCCTCCGTTGAAAACCCCCCGCGCCGCCACGCAGCTGGAGGGTCAACCAGTATCGGCGGCGCGCAGAGGTGACCATCCGCAGTCTTTTTCACGAAGGTGGCGGCCTAATGCTGAAAGAAGGCGCTGTCATGATCCACCTCCTCCTCCTCCTGCTCTTTCTCATTCTTCTTCTCCTCATCCTTTTCCCAAGGGCCTCAAGGAGCCTCGGGGGAGCGCCCGAAAATCCCCGAGGGCCTCCAGAGGCCTCCGAACGCTCCCGAAAACATTCGAAAACCACCGAAACATAATCATCGTCGTCGTCGTCGTCGACGTCGTCGTCGTCGTCGTCCTCGTCGTCGTCGTCATCGTCGTCGTCGTTGTCTGAGTGGGCGTAGGAGTCGTCGTTGTCGTCGTCATGGTCTGACACGTCGTCGTCGTCGTCGTCGTCGTCGTCGTCGTCGCGCCCCACTCCTGGCCGCCTCGCCGGCCCACCTGGGAGCAATTAGGCGTTCGGCGGAAGTCATGCGCGCACAACCCCCCTGGACAGCGATAGCTCGAGGAGGGGAAGGCGCCATGGACACGCACTTTCGGAGGTCCGCGCGGATATCTTCGATCGGCGCTGGGCCCCCCTGGCGGCGCCACCGGCGCCGCCCCCGGCGCGCCCCGTTCGCCAGGGGGGAGGGGGTGCCCGCGCCGATCCAGGAAATCCGCGCGGACCTCCGACACTTTGATACAGGGCTGGCCCTAAGCGTTGCTTTTCGTTTTGTGATTCGTTTTGCTCTGCCTGTTCCCCTGTACCTCTTTGCCAGAACGAAAAACAACACGAAACCCGAAATCCAACAAAACAGCGTTTAGGCCAGCCTTGCTTTGATATTTGTAGCGCTTTCTCTTCCTCGAAATGGGGGCTCCATCATCGCCCGGAGATCAAATGCCGGACCTCGGCGCCCGTCCCTTCCCCTGCCCCGAGAGAAGCCTGCAGGTCCTCCCTCCCCTCACATCCCTCCACCAGCCCCATTTTAAATGCGCCCCTTCTTCGAGCGGCGCCGTGGATGTCGCTCCAGAGCGAAGCCTCGGCGATAGCTTCAAGCAAGCAGTTCGTCCGCGACCTGCGCGCCAGAGCGAGGCAGACTCTCGGAAGCCCTCATGTGGCTCGAGAACCTGCAAATTTAAACCGCCCCCGGAAAGAACACTGAGCTCCCCCTCGGGGCATCGCGAAGAATCCCGCCTGACACGCCTCCTCGCGACCACAATCACACATACACGACACAGCAATTGAGCGGGGCACATCCACGCACCCAAATGCTCTTGATGATGGGCCCATTTTCCACTACCACTACCATGAATAAGAGGGGAGGGGGAGGAGGGAGGAGGGGGGTCCTCCAACTCCTCCTCCTCCTCCTCCTTCCCCTCATACTTCTGGTAGTGGCAATGGAAAATGCGCCCATCACTTGAGGTTCTTGAAGCCGCCCACATCCCGCACCCAAATGCCAAATGCTATTGGGTGGGCAGTGATCTGGCCGGCCTCGCGCCATCGGCGCTGCAAGGCAACGCGGGCGCCCTGGATCGACCTGAGCACTGACGCTGGCAAGAATGCCGGGTAGCCCGCGGCAGGCACGCACGAATACGAGCAGGCACTTCCTGGAGGGTTCCAAAATTGGTTCTCGGGGAGGTGGTTTTCCAGGAGGGCCCCCCGTGGGGCCTCGCACCCCCTGTTTTAGCGAGGTTCGACGCCCCTGGAAGGCTCTGTGGAAAACCCCCTCCCCCAAAAACCTTCTGGAACTCTCAGGACTTCAGGCGCGCCAGACGGCCTGCCGGACCGAGCCACGATTGGGCGTGCACCTGCGCCCGCTAGATGCACTCCCCCGGGAGCGGGGGGGGGGGGCAGGAGTGAGGAGGCAGGGCGTTGCTTCTTACATGCAAGTATGCACGTCAGGGGCGAGAGAGGGAGAAAAAGAGAGAGAGAGAGAGAGAGAGAGAGAGAGAGAGAGAGAGAGAGAGAGAGAGAGAGAGAGAGAGAGAGAGAGAGAGAGAGAGAGAGAGAGAGAGAGAGAAAAAAAAAAGATAATGTCAGACACAGGGAGGAACAATGAGAGAGAGAGAAGGAGAGAGAGGAGGAGGAGAAGAAAGAGAGAGAGAGACAGGGAGAAAGAGAGAGAGAGAGAGGGAGAACGAAAGAGAAAGAGAGAGAGAGAGAGAGAGAGAGAGCAACTTATAACGTCAGAGACACGGGGGGAGAAATACATAGAGATAGATAAAGAAGAAGAGTGGGGGAGAGAAAGAGAAAGAGAGAGAGAGAGATAAAGAGAGAGAGAGAGAGAGAGAGAGAGAGATAGAGAGAGAGAGAAAAAAGAGAGAGAGAGAGAGAGAGAGAGAGAGAGACAGACAGAGAAATGATCCCGAGAGCCTTCAGCACCGCTCCAAGACGGCTCCAAGTGGCCAAGGAGCCTCCCAAGGAGGCCCTCGAAATGACAAAATCGTTAGACAAGGTAATGAAAACCAATGTGTTTAGTCTTCTCGCTTTTTCGGTTCCGATAAGCTTTTGAGGCGTCAAGATTACTCCAAGATGGTCCAAGACGACACCAAGAGACGCCTGTGAGAGGGCCAAGACGGCCCCAAGAGCGTTCAAGAGCGCCCCCAGAGCGTCCCAAGAGGCCCCCAAAAGACAATGCGTCGGGCCCCGAAAATAAATCTAAATAAAAACTGCCGTCTCTTCTGCTCGATGGCCTCCAAGAGAGGCCCCAGAGAGCCCCAAGACGGCCCCGAGAGCGTCCAATGGGGCCCCAAGAGCGCTCCAAGATTGCCCGAAGAGAGGCCCCAAAGAGACCCAGAGGCCATCGACGTGTCCTCACGAGGTCCGTATGTTGGCCCCAAGGGACCTACAATGTGGCATCCTGGCGACAAACGAAACGGCGCTGCCCGCCCCGAGGCGAAATAGGGCTGACTGGGCTGAGCCGAACCAAGCGATGCTGGACTGAACTGGGCTGACGTGGACTGGGCCGCGTCACGCTGGGCCGACATGGGCCAGGCAAAGCTGTCTGAAGCAATCTGGGCTGCGCTCGAACGAGCTAGCTATTCTCGGGTGCCCGAGGCAATCTCACCTGCATAGGGCTTATCTGACCTGAGTGGGGTCCTCGGGCGCACGCGGCGGAGCTCGACAGAGTTCGACTGCGCTTACGAAAGCAACTCGCGAATGAGTCGCGCGCTCGCGAGGCCCAGCACAGCGAGGAGAAATGGCTGGCAATCCGAAGGGGTCGCAGCCTGCGCGGCAGCTGACACCTCCGCGATCGCGAAGTCTTGCAGGGCCTACCGTCGAGAGCCGGCAGCACGGGCACGCCGTGCGTCTCCAGAGCAAGCTGAAAATTTGCCCGGAGAGCGCGGCCTGCGCCGTCGCCCGAAGCCCAAATGGCCCCGTCGCGCACGCAGACGCGCAGGACTTGGCTCACGGCCCTCACGAAGCAAACGGCCAGCTCGATATTATACACTCTAGCAAGCAAAGCAGTCTGCAAACGACGCTGGTAAACGAGCCCCATCGCCACGTACGCGTGCGACCACTCCGTCTCCACCGCACCGTTGCCGGCAACCTCCTCGCCGACGGCGACCGCTGCGTTCATAGTGGAGCCCGGCTCCACCACGTCTATGCAAAAGGCCGGGCGATCAGAGCGAGCCTGGCTGAGGCAAAACATATCCTCGCCCAGGACTGCCACCGTCTTCTTGTGGCGAGAGTGGCTCGCTCAATGTTCGCGCCCGCGGCCCTCAGCGCCCAGCCGCGACTGGACTCGTGGAAGAGCTCCCATGCCGCTTTCGATATGCACCGGACCAGCCAATTCGGATCAGCGAAATGACCCGTCGGCGGCTGCGTCGCGGCCCAGTCCCAGCTCGGCAGAAGCAGATCTGCGACGACGGGGAACGACATGTTCACCTCCGTCTCGCCCCGGATGTGCACGCAGACTGTGTCTACCGCCACGGCGTGCCAGCGCTCCTCTATCGACTCGATGGCGGGGCCGCGCGCCGACAAGTCGCCCTCGTCGTCGCTGCCCATCTCAGAGTCGGACTCCTCAGCAAACACCCTGAGAACGTCGACCTTGAACTCCACCGGGTTCCCGCTCTTGGAGCAATCCGAGTTCCACTTCAACGAGCGGTCCAGGTACTCCCACTCGTGAAAAGCAGCGCGCATGGGAACGGCGTCCAAAGACCAAGCCGCCCGCGTCCAGTCGTCGCTCTCGACTGAAGGCACGAGTCCCGGCTGCGCTGCCCCGGAGGCATCCCGCCACGAAGAGTGCGACTCCCCGACCGCCGCGACAAAGCGCTCGACGGCAGAGGCGTCGACCATCCGCAGCCACGCGCACCGCAGGTGCTCCCAGTACACGGGGGAACTGAAGGCAGGTGCCGCCCCGTTCTCTGCCACGGCCTTACGGAGAAGCACTGGGACACGCAAGCGCACCCACTCCTTCTGCGCGAAGTCGATCATGCGCACCCAGGGCATCTGTGCACGAGCCTTGTCCTGCCAGCCCCGGATATCCGCCGGCTCGTGGCGAGGGTGGATGTAGTGCTCACCGCGCTGCTTCAGGCCTAGCACCACTCCCTCGGCGTCGTTGTCCGGCAGCACGATCTCGTCGCGCAAGTCCTCCAAGACGACGTGCAGCCTCCGGGAGTACCTCGAAGCGGCAATGAACTGGAGGTGCCGCTCGGTGGCGTGGCCGACCCACCCCCAGTCGCCCGCCTGACGATGGGGAAGACACAGTATCTCCACGGGCCCATCTCCTCCGCCGGCGCGGAGCGCTGCCGCCACGGAAAGCGCCTTGGCATTGGCCGCAGCGGAGTACTCGTACCTGGCAAGGCCGTCGGCTGGGAGCGGCACGCCCAGGTGCTGATGAACCTCGTTGCACAGCTCTGGGAGACGAGCCTCCAGGAATGCCTTGAGCTCGCTCAGAAAACTGTTCAGGAAGCTAACTTCCTGGACGCCGCCGGCGCGATCGACGGCGTCGTCGCCGCACAGGAGCGCGACGAGCTCGACGGCCAGCAGGGAGGCGCAATGCTTGACGAACGCCGTGGACCAGGTGATCTCTGACGTCGCCACGGCATGCTCCCAATCGCGGAGGCGCTCCACCGGTGTGAGGAGGACGAGGCAATCCTCCGGGCCTCCGCGCTCCTCACCGAACACGGACACCACGTCGTCGTGTCGCCCAGGGAACTGCAGCATCGCCACGCCCGTCGGTCGGAAACGGAAAGACTGGCTCCGCTTGCACGTCTGAGCACTCCTGCCGAGTGGTATCCAGTTGGCAGCGGTGGACCACGCGCCGTGGAGCTCGTCCGCGTCGACGCGTTCCCCGACCGCCTTGCCCGCTTCGGCGCGGTTGGCGGCGGACGCCCTGGAAGGGCGAGGCCCGCCGGGATCTCGCCCCTGCTGCACGTCGCCCGTCAGGACTGCCAACGAGCACCCGGTCGCCATGGCCGCCGCCAGCTTCCACGAGTAGCGCTGCATATCGTCTGCGAACAGTCCCCAGACCACGCCGCGATCACCCAGCAGAGTAGACAACTCGTTCTTGCTAGTGCGCAGCTCGAGCAGCTTGGCGGGCGCGAGCACGAGCGCCCGGAGCCGGGACAGGATCGTAGCCCGCCGCTGCCCCAGATCACTGTAGTGGTGCTGGTCAATAAAAGCGTGGCGCCGCGCCAGCAAGGCGCATGGCAGCTTCCGGGCAGCTCCCTCTTTGCGCGTCCCGCGCATAGCCATGGCGAGCTCGATGCAGCGATCCACCGCCGCCAGGACGTTTCGGGATTGCTCGCGCTGCTCGTGCAACTGGCGCTCCAAGAATTGCTCGAGGAAGTCCGACGTGCTGTCCTCGTCGTAGCCGACGCGTGCGACGCCCTGGTGGACGCCGATCTTGCAAAGGGCGCGGTCGAGCCGCACGACAGCCGCCGCGCACATCTCCTTCGTGGGCTCCATCGCCAGAGCTTTGAAGGCCTCGTTGTGGAAGACGCCCATCATGATGAACACCTCCATCAACATCGTCTTGCCTGCCCTGGGCACCGCCGGCGCCAGCATCAGACACCGTCTCCAGTCGAGCACGACGTCTCTCTGCATGGAAGTAAGGGGGCAGCCGAAGGCCGCCTCCACTCGGCCCAGCAATCCACGCCGCGTCTCGGAACGAGGAGCACCCACGGCCATCTCCACCGCCAAGTCTGACGCGCTGCGCGCCGCTTCGGCGCCGCGCTGGCTCGCCCCGCCGAACGCCGCAGCGGCGCCGCGAGTCACGTCGAGCCCCAGGATGAGGCGCATCAGCACGTCGGCGCAGTCGACCTCCGGAGACGCTAGCGCCCGCGTGGCCGAGCAAAGCGTCGCAGGAAGCACGGAGGGAGTACCGCGCAGGACCTGCTGGAAGGTCTCGTGGATCAGGTGCGCCTCGTGCATGTCCCCCAGCAACGCGGTGATGATGCGCAGCGCCTTCACGGGCGGCAACGGCACGGAATGCCCGTCGCACTGCTCGGGCAAGGCGGCCACCGGGGGCGCGACAGAGACCTGCCGCCCATCTGGCGACGCGGAAGCCACCAATCGCAGGACGCCGAGCGCGTAAGGTGTCTTCGCGCCGTGCCGCCATCCGCCGCTGAACCACTGTTCGACGGCGTCGTAGCGCGCAATACAGATCGCGCTGAGCTTGCCGTTGCTCCTGGGCAAGTCGCATTGGAGCTCGAAGCGGTCCTTCATCATCGCCAGCTTGGTGACCTGCGGCGCGTTCGGCTTCCTTGCCTTCTGGCGACCTTTTCCTTTGCCTTTCCCAGACCGGGCGCGTCGGCCTTTCGGAGGCGCGGACAGGTACGCCGTGCGCGGGCACTGCGCCTTCCCGCTGCGGAGCGTCGCACCTGCCTCGTAGCTAAGCTCCTCGAGCAACAAAGGAACCGCAGACTGCAGAGACTGCCCGGGGTTGCCAAAGCCAGGACGAAGGTTGTACTTCGCCCGCTCGCTCTCCGCATCCAGCAGCGCCTCGGCGAAGGAGCGCAAGGGCGGGCGCGGCTGCTCCAAGAGCCTCGCCTGGGAGATCACAGGCAAGACATCCCGCAGAAGCGCGTTCGGGGCAGAGGGCCGATCCAAGCGCAACTGCCTCAGCGCTCTTTCCACCTGCTGCTCGTCCATGTGGCAACGCCTCCTCGCTTTGTTCGCGCCCGCGAGCCGAGGCTTCATCTTTTTCACCATGCGCCCCAAGCACTCAACCATGTCGCGGTCGCCGCGGTCCACGAGGTCCATCAGTTCGAGGACGCGACCGGCGACAGGCTGCAGAGGCGAGCCGCCCTCCACCCATGCAACGGCCGCCCTGGGCGCACCCGTTGACTCTGTCTTACGCAGCGCCGGACCAGCGCCGAGAAGCTCCCTCAGCCTGAGCTGCGCCACAGCGGCTGCCTCTGGTGTGGGAGCAGACAGACTGTACTCGGCGCACGCCGTGCCGTCCTCGGGCCCGTCGGGGTCACTGCTGCCCCGACCGTACCCATGCGGGATCTTGAAGAAGACGACGGCCCGGCTGCACCGCTGCGCCACTTCGTGGACGCCCCCGGGCGCGTCGGCCAAGCAGGCGTGCCTCTCCGGCCACCGATAAAACAGCAGCCGACCGCCAACGGAGTGCATGGCGCCCAGAGAGTGTTCGATCCAGACTGGAGGCGTGGAAAGCGAAAAGCAAAAGAGGGCCCGATGGGCAACCTCTGCGCGGGAGCGAAGCGGTGCTTCGAGAGAAGAGGGCCCGAAGGGCAACCTCAACTATGAGCCGAAACACGACGGTTACCTGGCGATATGAAAATGACGAGACTGAGAAGTCGCGTGGTCGACCAGGAGGCGGGTGTTCGAGCTTCTTCCGTCATCCATTTTTTCTCGGGTCCTATGAAAGTACTAATACCCCGAAGGCAAACATCAAAGAAATGCACGCGATCGCTTTCCGTGGTTGCTTAGGAAACCGCCAACAATCAACGCACCTGCAACAAATCCTTATCAAAATCAGGGAGGTATGTAAATCAACTTGTTTTTTCCCAGGTGTTAGCAAACATATAAGATTTGATATAACCCAGTACATCAAACGGACGCATTTGATTGCGGACAATCCTAGCCGAGAATCGTCATGAACACAACGAATCTGAGCCTTGTTTGAGCGGCTAGGAGGCGGGGGTTGAGCTTCTTCAGTCCCGCATTTTTTCCGCTGCGTCCTATAGAATTACTACTACCCCGAAGGCACGCAGCAAAGGAAGGCACGCGTCCACTTTCCGTCGCTGCTTAGGAAAGCGCCAAAAGGCAACGCACCCCCCAAAAATCAGCATCAAAATCAAAGGGGTGTGTAATTCAACTTGTTTTCTACCCACTGCTAGCGAACATATAGGATTTTGCACAGCCCGGTGAACCAAACGAACGCATGTAAATGCGGACAACCCTAGCCGGGAAGCAAAACCCGTCATCAATCTCCACGAGATCACGCAAACGCAAACGCGAACGCCACCAACAAATCTCTGTCAACGCAACGCGTTTTTGAAATTTTGCGATAGTGACAGCTGTCAAAAATACGACTTAAGAGAACAATTTGGAACCTTTGCGCTGGGATGCTTGCCCAAGGAAACAGATTTTTGAAAATTTGCGAGAGTGGCGCCATTCAAGACGGTGACCAAACAAAGAATGTTGACATACTGACGAGAATAATGTGCTGGAACAGCCCGGAACATATTCCCAAAAAGACCACAATTGACCACCATCACCGAACAGCGTTTTTGAAATTTTGCGATAGCGGCGGCTTTCAAAAAGACGAAAAGGGAAAACAATTTAGAACGTTTGCGCTGGGATGGTTGTCGAAGGAAACATGTTTTTGAAAATTTACGAGGGCGACGCCGTTCAAGAAGATGACCAGAACAGTGATATTGACATACAGGCGACAATAATGTTCTGGAACACCCCGGAAAAAGATTACACAAATACCGAAATTGACCAAGACAGACGAAAGAAGGCCCAAGATACTCTCATGACAGCCCTGGGTAGCGTCAAGAGGGCCCCTTCAGTGTTTCCTTATTTTCTGTTAGAAATTTCTTGATGATCACTCCATGGAACCTGCATGATGCCTCCAGGATCCCCCCGGTGGACCTCGAAAAGGCTCCGGAGTTGCCGCGCACATCCGAAACGGCCTCGACGTTTTGGATGTGCGTCCTCAGACGACCACAGAATTCTTCCCTCCGCCCTCACCCCACACAGCCAGGAGGACACCACGACGGCCCAACGATACCCCAAGACAAGCCAAGATTCCTGAGAACAGCCCCAGAGAGCCGCAGGGCGACCGTCACGCGAGCCCCAGACAGCCCTAAGGAAGCCCAACTAAGATCGAAGGCAAATCCTACCCCAGTAAAGTGAAGCGCATCACATGCCCCAGCCTCCCTCTCCATCCTCCCCCCCCTCCCCTTCCTCATCGTCACCGCCGCCGCAGGCATCATCATCATCATCGTCATCGTCGCCGCCGTCGACACCATCACCATCAGCGCCCGAAGAATCCCGGCCCAAAACGCCGGGCTGGATGACCGAGTCTCGAGATTCGGAATAAATTACGAGGGCCCGATGGGCAACCTCAGCTCGTAGACTAATCGTGACAGAGAGCGGCATCATGCTCGCGGTGAGTAGAGCTGAATCATACGAGGGCCCGATGGGCAACCTCACTTCTGAACGTGAACCAACGTGCCACTGCATGCTTACGCGGGGTCTTCGAAGGAGCTCCCTATGAGACCACGAAGCGCGCGAGGGAGCGAAAGATGGGAAGAGAGAGAGAGAGAGAGAGAGAGAGAGAGAGAGAGAGAGAGAGAGAGAGAGAGAGAGATAAAGAGAGAGAGATAGAGAGAGAGAGAGAGGGAGAGAGAGTGAGAGAGAGAGAGAGAGAGAGAGAGAGAGAGAGAGAGAGAGAGAGGGAGAGAGAAGGAGGAGATATTGATGGGGTCAACAGCGTCGACTAACTCGAGGCCCAATGGGCAACCTCTAACGAACGGCGGTCGCGAAGCCACAAACCGAAAGGCACCGACATTCGGACCTTGCTCGCGGTCAAGACTCCAACGATGATCAGGGGACCCGATGGGGAACCTCAACGGATCGTAGCGGTCGTTTGATCAACATGGCCCGGGCGCGCGATCCTTGTTCGCGGTCGAAAGAACGTCGACAGAGATCAAAGAGAGAGAGAGAGAGAGAGAGAGAGAGAGAGAGAGAGACTGAAACAGGAGAGAGAGAGAGAGAGAGAGAGAGAGTGAGAGAGAGAGAGAGAGAGAGAGAGAGAGAGAGGGAGAGAAAGAGAGACCGGGAAGGCGAACAGAGATTCAGGCGGCTTCAGCTCAGCGCCTTGCCCGCTTCGCGGGAGGCTCCCCCGCTACTGGGGCGCCCCCCATCCGCGCCTCCTCCTCGTCCAGGAACACCTTCAGCTCGCCCGGCGTCTTCTGCGCCCTCGCCTTCGCGCCCCCGCTCTCGCCCTCGTCTTCCGCGTCGACACCCGCCGAACGCTCGTCCTGCTCCATCAAGTCAGCCTCCGCCGCCTGCGCAGCCGGAACCCCGCGCTTCCTGCCGGCGTTGCGGCGCACGATCCCGGCGATCTTGCTCATCTCGCAGAGCCGAAACTGCAGCCGGAGGTCGTCCTGCTTGCGCGGGTCCCGCCAAAGCTCCACCCGCGCCGCCAGTCGGCTCCAGAACTTCTTCTCCGCCCCGGAGCAGGCCGCGCGGTCCCGGTTCCACTCGTAGGTTCTCTGCAGGTTGAGCAGCCGGGTCTTGAGCGCCACGTGCGCCTTCGCTGCCCGGTCGAACTCCTCGTCCAGCAGCCCGAAACACTTGGTGTCACCAGAGATGCCCAAGGAGTTGCCCTCGAGGAAGCCGAGGCCGCTGCGAGCCCCGGGGCCTGGCAAGCACCCGTGCTCCTTCAGGCACCCGCCGTCGGGAACGGCCAGCGTCAGGAGAGCCGCCGCGTTCTTCCCCTGGAGGCTTCCGCACCGCACGGCGCGGCGGGTGCACGCACGCCTCTTCCAGCCCGCCTCCTTGAGGTGCACCGCGTCCGCGGTCTCCGCGAGGAGGATCTGCCGCAGACGGCTGTCCTTCCGCTCCTCCTTCTTCTCCAACGGCAACGTGTAGGTGCGCACGTCGAACGCGTTCGTGAAGCAGAAATCCGCGGGGACCTCTTCCGCAAGCCGGATGATCTCGCTGGCCTTCACATCCTTCTTGCCGCGCGTGGACGCCTCCAAGTGCTCGGCCACAGCCGCGCCGTTCAGCAAGGAGACCACGGCGCAGAACACGCGGCGGTGCAGAGACCTCCCGTCCACGCGCGCCGCTGTCTCCAGGTTCGTCACCGTCGTCTTGTCCAGCTCCTCGTGGTTCAGCTTCCGCGTTCCCAGAAGATTCACCGCGTCCACCTGCTTCGCGCGGCGCTCCCACTTGGCCGTGCCAGGCTGGTATTGCTCGTAGGCGAAGCTCCTATTCAGAAACTTCTTGAGCTGCTGCGAGGAGTCCGTCGCCGAGGACAAGGAGCCGAGCCAGTCGTACTCCTTCGGAAACTCCTCCCTGCAGGCCAACGCCGCCACGCAGAGAGAGAGCGCGTCGTCCTTCTTCGGAGGGGTCACGCGGCAGGACATGCCGCCCCGGGCCGGGCGTGAGGAGCGCGAGTGAGTGAGTAGCCGATTTGAAAACCGCTCGAGCCGAAACAGTTGAGGTCGCGTTTGCGTGTCCTCCCCCTTTTGCTTTCTGTGTCTCCGTTTGTTGATGACGGCGCGCCAAAGAGCCGCCGCCGGCTAACGCCTCCGGGGGCCGCATGACACCTCCGGGGCTGTATAACACCTCTTAGGGAATATAACACACGGGGAGGCCGTATGACACCTCCGGAGGCCGTATAACACGGGGCCGTAGAACACCTTCGGGGACTCGGGAATGATGCATCGCTGGTTGCCGCCCGCAGCGCCACCGGCAGGTTGATCGCGGCGCATCAACATGTAATCGTCTAGTGTACACGGCGATAATCCACATCTCCCATCACAGTTCGTCGTGCCGTAGTTCGTTGGCTCGTGGAACCATCGCAAAGCGCGCGGAAGGATTGGGGAGGAGAGAAGGGGGAGAGAGAAAGAGAGAGAAAGAAAGAGAGAGTGAGAGAGAGAGAGAGCGAGAGAGAGAGAGAGAGAGAGAGAGAGAGAGAGAGAGAGACACACCAACAAGTAAACTGTTCATCTTCCTGAACGCCATTGAGTGTGCAGGGATGCCTCAAAACTGTATTGAAAGAGCGAACGCCGTTCCGCCGAACTCGTAAGGGGCGAGGTGATGCGCAGCTGTGCGGAAGCCGTCTAGCACCCCCGGGACCTGTATGACATCTCTGGGGCTGTAAAACACCTCCAGGGGAATATAACGCACGAGGAGGCCGCGTGACACTTTCGGAGGCTGTGTAACACAGGTCCGCATAACACCTCCGGGAACTGCACAACACCTCCCCGGGCTCACCGGGGCCGTAGAACACCTCCGGGGCCGTATAACATCTCCTCGGCCGAATAACACCACCGGAGAGCATAGAACACCTCTGGGTCTCAGATTACACCTCCCGGCGGACCG